CCCCAAAACCCCAAAACCCCAAAACCCCATGATATCGAATTGTAAACTAATTATGCGATAGGATAAATTAATAACAACAATAGTATATACTGTCTATTTTCAAACATTTAAAAACGATAAGACATTGAGAGCTGTACACTATAATATCGAGGGCTTCCTTTATCTGAGAGTCGAGAGAGATTTATTTTATCTTAGAGTCTAAAATCATTCGTTTCCAAGCATCGAACCTTTCCTCGTATATGCCTTCGCTCCTTTCTATTCGTTCTAATTTAGAAAACCATTTATGCCTCCTAGTTATTATGTAGTTGAAGAGATTAGCATTGAATTTCTCTTCGAATGCTCTTAAACAGCTTGCTAGCCTATGCCTAAGTTAGTAGAAGACGTTTAACTCATTGATTTTCTTTCCCCGTTCGACTAGCTTCCAGATGGAGGTAGTAGATTATTTTGACTATATTGAGATTATAATAATGAGAAATTATATACTTTTTAGCTCCTTATGTTGCTTTTTTAATCTTAGTAGGAGTTTTATCAACTGATAGTGATTAACCATTAAGCTTTGTGGTCTTAATGCCTGTATTTATTGAATTGGCTGTTGAAGTTAGATTTTTAGAAGCAATACTTCCAAAGCCTGGCCTTCTTGACAATGCAAATGCATTGAATTTCCCTCTCTATTTAATTATTAATGGCTAAAGAATTTTTACCTTAAACTTCTTACTTGACTCTTGCAATAGAGTTTAAAAATCGAATTTCGATTCTTCTTCCTCTTCTTATCGTTTTTTTCTTTCCTCTTCCTCTCTTTATTCTCGAATAACAAGCCTTGCCTCATGCTCCAGTCGCTCTTGGTCTTATTGAATCATTAATTTCTCCTCATCCTTTGTCTTTTTTCTTTATTAGAGTAACTTGAAATCGCATTGCTCAACTGCCTCAACTACATCTCTATCATGATCTTATTTTAATCTATTTAATATATCCATCAACTCAAGGTTTAGATTAATATCATAGTCTAGGTAAGGCTTTATATGCACTATAGAGTGTGCGAATTCTATCCTGACAGTTGGGACTCGATCCTTGCTTAAAGATAGATATGCCTCATTGAAGTGAGTTCGGAATAATTATCTTGAGAAGCAGTTGACTGCATATTTACAAAAGTAAATAAATGTTTTTCTAAGCACACAGCTTGTTGACTCAGCTAAGTCTTGTTTAATAAGTGTAATTAATTCCTATCTCTTCTGAGAGTTGTATTGATATTAAAGTATCTTTGAAAGACATAAAGCAGATGCCTATCTTATCTCAGCATTTCCTCCTCTAATGTACTCTAATAAGCTAGGAATCATGGCGTCATATAGCTTCACATATATCTCTACTTTTTTAAGATTGCCTAAATGCTATATGAACTTCTACTGATTCCTCCAAAGTCCATGAATGTTTGATAGATTTCCGTCAAATATCATTAGCTTTCCGATAAGATCAGCCAATAGTAATTCACTCACTTATTCTGGTGTGAAATTGGGTTCCTCCTCTTTTGCTATTTCAAAGGGGACATTATTTCTTTTGGATTGCTTTCTGTCTTTAGATTTGGTGATAGCAGTAGTGAAGTCACTTTACTATGACCCTTTTTGGCCTATTTATCCCTAGGAAGCATTAGGAGTGAGCATATTATTTTCATGGATATTGATAGATTGCACGTGATAGTGGTTCAAACTGTGGTCATTGCAAAAGTTGTCCAAAATTACCTCAATATTTTCAGTAATCGCTGCTATGACCTCTCTGGTTGTATCCTCCAAAAGGATTTTGAAAGCCTCTCTTAATTTATAAGTATCCTCTTCCTAATTAGTTAAAATGAAGGCTTCATGAATGCAAGAAGCAACTGTTTTTCTTATCAAAGTATCATTATCTCGAGAGAAGTGAAAATAAATTTCGTAGAAATCTATCATTCTCTCTGGTTGATGCTCTTTATAGAGTTAGTGAAATATGGCAAGATTGAAAGCCCCTTATCTTCTCATTTCAACATCCTTATGGATGCACACGTGATGAAAATACTACAGAAATTTATCTTTGTACAACATGTGAAAATCAAGTTACTTTAGTTGATATACCACATTTCCAATTAATTTAGCCATCCTTAAGTCTATTTCCTCAATTCCGACGTCGAAAGTATTTTACAAACTGGGCAGATAGTCTTTTTCAATTGTTGCCATGTCTATTTCTTGTAAGATATCAGTTAGAATTTCTAGAGCTTCGATTCTAATGTAGGCCTCCTCATCGTTGAGTAACTCGATTAATTCTGGCAAATAGATATCATGGAAGCGTCTATTTTATCTGGCCTATTCTCTAATCAAGTATTCTTTTAGAAATATCACTCCATCTAGTCTAATTTTGTAATTGTTATCTTAGCAAATCGCTAGAATGGTTTTTAGTACTACGGGATCCTTATCGAATCCTAATTCTCCTACTTATCTAGCAAAGCTGATAGCCAACCTATTTCCTCTCTTTCTCTTTACAAATGGAATTTTTAATCCCGTCATCTCGACTATGATTGGAAATATTTCTTTCAAAGAATAATCTATCTCAACCTTTTCAATTATCATATCATATATGGTGAACCAAGATTCATATAGCTAAATTTTGATAAAAGATAAAGAGTAAGATGAAATTATCTTACTTGTTCGTTTCCGGCGTTAACATCATTTGATACAATATCTACTGCTATTTTTAGTATTTTTTATTTGTTTTTCTTGTCAATTAACTGCAATCATAAAATAAAATCAACTCTAATTTTACATCTAATTCCAATGGCCTCACGAAGGAACAGGCGCACTCTATTAGCATTGTGTCATCCCAATTTGTCATCGATTCCTAAATGAATCATTTTATTAGCACTTCTTATTAAAAAAGTTCACCTACAATTATCAAAGATAGAAGTTCTTCATTCGATCCATTTTCTCTTAAATATCTATCCAAGTGATTTATCACCTATATTAAGTTAGATAAGTGGGAATTGAGAATTAAGGAGTACAGATATTTTTTGGATCTCGTAACCCTTCTTCATAAGATGTACAGCTCACTTTAACTCAGATAAATCCTCATTTGTGCAAAATTTCTTTATCTCTTCCTCAGTCTAAAAATAGTATAAAACCACCATTTGTAAGTCAATAGCACTGCTATTTGGAGTGCAAATAGAATTAGTATTGATGATACCTTAGCATGCTTTTAGAGTTCATTGATTTCACTCCCGAAGATCTCATTTAAAAAGTCCATTTTTTCAATATTAAGTTTTTATCAAAAGTAGTATAAAATATATAAATATGATTATCTAAACTATATTAAAAAGTAATCTGATTATTTTTGAATTAAACCTATCTAAAATTGAGATTTCATATGATGGGGTTTTGGGGTTTTGGGGTTTTGGGG